TTAATCATTAATCATTAATCATTAATTAATCATTAGTCATTAATCATTAATCATGTCATTAATGATTAATGCATTGATCAATGTTAATGATGCTGGCCAATTCGTTTCTACTCGAAGTTAGATTCGGATCATTCATAATCAGTACAACCGCGATTATGTGTCTGATTTTATTATTTATGACTTGACTAGTCAGTGGTGTTGTGACTTATGACCATTTCATGGCTCTTCTTAATTTAGGACCTATAGGACTTAGGACCGACATATGAAGCTTACAACACATGACTCTACCGGCTGTATAGATATATCAGATGGACCGAAGACTGTGAGTCTCAGTCTGAGTCTGAGTCCGCGTCTAAGTTTCACAGTCTACTAACTTACGACGTGTTGTCTAGGTCCTGCGTCCTAGGTCTTATGCCTTACAGTCCTGCAGTCTTCAGACGTCTGAATCTAGGTCCAGGTCTAAGTCCCATAGTATCCAATAGTTTAAGTCGTTTAAGTCTAAGTGTTCAAGTTGAAGTCAAGCTCACGTCTAAGTCTGTTAAAGCAGTTTAAGTCTGAGTCTAAGTCTATGTTTTTAAGTGTTACGTTTTAAAGTTTTAGGTGTAATGTTGAGTCTGATAGGCTTAAGGCGCCTTAAGGCTTAAGGCCTTCAGACCTTAAGACTTAAAGTTCTAAGCGCCTAATGGTGTCTGTCGTGCTAGATTCGCAGGTGCCCTTCGCCTGGAGTGTCCTGCTGTACGAGGAGCAGTTGGCTGACTATGTACGCTTTCAAAAGTGGGGCGAGTTTGCTGCTGCTTGCTGCACTGAGGCCCCTGCTTTTTCCGTTGTCAACGAGATGCAGAAAGGGCATCTTGATGCGGTCGTCCACCGCTGTGTTGGTGATCAGTTGGGCTCACTCCTTCCCAATCCGGCTGCCAGCCAGAAAAAGAAAAAAAATGAGCAGGCTACGAGCAATTTCGGCAAGGTGGTTTCAGAGCTGCTGACTGCTGGCAAACTCCCTGACGGTTCCTTGGCTGACCTGGGCAAGTTGAACAACCTCCTGGTTGCCGGCAGCGCAGAGGACAAGGTCGCAGCTTTGCAAGCACTCGAAGAGTTGCGGGATGATCCAGACTACTTTGGTTTGCTGCGGCCGGTGCTTCACAGCGAGCATTGGTCAAGTTTTTTGGATGGTCTGCAACGACCAGCAAAAACTTCTTCCGCTGTCAGCGAGTTGCGAAAGGCGTTCGACAAGCTGAACGCGACTGCCGATGCTGGCTTCACCGACGAGGATAGACAGAACTTGTGCCACGCTCTGCAGACGGCCACGCGCGTGCCTCAGGCGCAGAGTCAGCTTACGGCTGTGCTGAACGGCTTGAGCTTGGCAAGCCGTGAGGCAGAAAAGGCGCAGCTGAACCAGGTCAAAAGACTTTGCAGTTTAATCGTGGCCAAAGGGCCAGGGAACGTCGAGTTGAGTGCTGTCATGGAGCTGTCTGACGATATCCTCCGCAAAGGTTATTGGGCCGAGCTCGAAGATCAGATTGGCCCGGAGGATGCAGGAAAGGGTTTCGAGGATGACAGCGAGGAAAGGCGCAGTGCTATGAGTGCCTTGGTGAAGGCAGGAGCTGCTCTCATGAAGCAGCGAAGGACTTTGGAAGTTGTGCTTGGCCTGGCCATTGCTGCTGAACGCTTCGCCGACAACAATTCCCCAGAGTGTCAGGAAAAGTTGCTTCTGAAGTGGGGCGAAGCCATGACGTTGCAGCAAACTGGCAGCAGTACCGAGGAGTTGGCTCCGGCTGTCAGCCAGCAGCTTGAGGAGGTACTTGCAGCCACCCGCATACCCCAGGTGGGTCCTGAGTTCTACATGTCTTCACTCGATGCACTGAGTCAGATGATGACAGATCTCGTTGAGGAGTCCATGCGCGCCAACCAGAACAGGGACGCTGTGACAAAGGCCGCTCAAAGGGTGCTGGAGGCAAGGCACCAAACAATGCAGGCGTGCGCCATGTCGGACACGCCTGGGTTTGCAAGGTCCTGCATCGAGTTGGTTTGCGAGGATATGGTTCCGGTCTGTGTAGACGCATTTCAGCTGTCAGCTAGCTCCGACAATGCAGTTGAGCAGCAAGTTACCGAGTTTTTGCTGGCCCATTTGAACAACGTCTGCGACTTGGAAAAAAACAAACAGAAAGTCCTGCATGTGTTGGAGCAGAGCGTCGCAAACAAGTTTTTGCAGCATGCCGCCTCCGTGAAGGACAAATGTCTTCCAGTTCTTAACAACAAGGTGGAAACTTTGCTTTCGCGAGTCGACTCTGCTACGAAAGCACTGGAAAACGAGCTTTTGCCTTTGGCTCCTTTGGCCTCGGCCAAGACAAGCAAGGAAAAGTTTTTGGAACAGTGCACCGGCGGAGACGTTTTGAAAAAGCTCTTGAAAGCTCTCGTCAAGGCGGAACGGAGCTTTGGGCAAGTCGCCAGTTTGGCAGAAGATGTCAAAGCCCGAGTCACAAGCACAAAGGAGCATGCCAAGCAGCAGATTACAACTTGGGGTGCACTTACCCTCTTGGCTCACGATGATATTAATGCCGACACCAAGCAAGGTGTATCGCTTCGCACTGCCCTTGCAGACATCTGGAAGGAGCACTGCAAAGAGCTGACGCGATGCCTGGATGAGGGAACAGCAAAACAGATTGCCGACACAGCTTCTGGAAGTTTGGTGCACAAGAAGGAGGACAAGGGTGAGAGTGTGGAACAGGCGCAGGCGAAGCCGGTTAAGCGCAAGGCTGCAGCAAACCCGGTGGCACCCAGCGGCAAGAAGACCAAGGCCAAGGCGTAGCCTAGAAGGGCCGACCACTTGTTGAACCTTTCGGCTGTCAGCCAGGGTTTCGGCTGTCAGCCAAGCAAGGTCTTCTTTGGAACCCTCTGGCTGTCAGCCAGGGTTTCCGGCAAGCTTGTGACACGTTGGAGCCGTCTTCGGCTGGCAGCCAAAGAAGAGTTGGAGGCGCGGTCGGCTGTCAGCCAGGAGCTTTGAGTGAGCGCCGCTTTAGGACCTAGCACTTTGAGTCGAGACACCTGTCAAGAACAGAGGGGTGTTTTTGCAGCTTGGGCCGGCTTCCGGTGTGTCCTTAAAGACTTAAAGACTTAAAGCCTTAGCCGCTAGCCTTTCAGCCTTAAGCCTTAAGCCTTAAGCCTTAAGCCTTAAGCCTTAAGCCTTAAGCCTTAAGACTTTAAGACTTTAAGCCTTAAGCCTTAAGCCTTAAGTCTTAAGCCTTACAGCCTTAGCCTTACAGCCTTACAGCCTTACAGCCTTAAAGCCTTAGGCCTCAGGCTTCCTAAACTAAACTAAACTTGTTTTAAACTGAGTCTCTTAAACTCTTAGAGTCTTAGAGTTTAGGGCCGGTTTAGTCTGAGTCTAAGTCTAAGTCTTATCTAAGTTTAAAGTTTAAAGATGTTTAAAATTTAGAATCGGTTAAGCTGTTAAACTTAGACTTAGACTTAGACTTAGACCTAGACTCAGACTTAGACTCGACGTAGCCTCAGGCGTAGATTTAGACTCAGACTTAGACTACTTAGACTTAGATCTAGCCTTAGACTATTTAGACAGAGGTAGACTCAGACTTAGACTTCGACTCAATCACAGTCTTGGGGTTAGAGTTATAGACAGACTTAGACTCTAAGACTTAAACAGCTTAAACCCTGAAGAGTCTTAGATTCGTAGTTTGATATAAATGAGTAAATGATCAGTTAAACAGTTAAACAGTTAGTCAGTCCCTTCTTCTTAAGAGTCAGTTAGACCGAGACTCCAGACAGATTCTAGATTTAGACTTGGATTCAGATTTGAGATTTACACTGTACACTTTTACATGTAGACTCAGACGTAGATTTATTAGAGTTGAGAGTTTAGAGTCCAGAGTGTTGCCTTTGAATTGAGAATGAGACTTAAAGACGCAGACGTAGACGTAAACCCAGACGTAGACTCAAACTCCTAGACTCTTAGACTCTTAGATTAGACTGTTGGACTCAGATTTAGCTATGAGTTGAGTAGGACTTAGACTGAGACTCGACCCAGAGTCTCACACATAGATTCCAGATTCTCGACTTCGGCGACTTAAGCTTTCTTCGATTCCGCCTTTATTTAAACGACTTAGACTCAGACATAGACGTGGGTTTTAGCTTCAAATTTGAGTGAGACGTAGACTCCGCTTGGACTTAAACCCGAGTTAAATTTAGTTTAGGTTTAGATTTAGATATAGACTCGACGTAGATTGCCTAGACTGGATTGATTCTTGTTCGTTCTTATTCTTAGTCACTAGTCTTAGTCTTTGGCTCGCAAGTCTTAAACTTTAAGCGCCTTAAGCCTCAGCCTGAGGCATTATTAATTATTAAGGCTTAGACTGCGATTGAGACTTAGACTCGACCCAGTCTCCTAGACTCAGACTTAGGTTCAGGGGCTTCGGCTTAGGGATTTAGATATGTAGACAGAATCTGATTCAGAGTCAGACGCAAGCTCTAGACTCTGCTCATTAGTCAAGTCATAGTCACAACCATAGTTTTCAAGTTTTAAAGTCTCACAAGCCCGTCAGCCCAAGCCGGCCCAAGACCAGGCCAGGTTTAAGTTTCCCGGCCGAAGCTTTTGTGCCGCTGTAGGTGACCGCTTTTGGAGCACTTGCAGAAAGGAAAAAGCGTGCGGCAAAGCGCACTGTTTGTGATGCTGATCTTGACGGATGCGAGCCTGACTCAGGGCGCAGGTGTGGGGAGTCCAAGGTCCAGGTTCAAGCGATTAGGTCACTAACGAAGTTCATTGACCAGCCACAAGTTGGGGCAGAACAGCCGCTGGCCATCTGCAAAAGCTGCGTCGGAAAATGATTTCCGTCTTGGTCATACGTGCTTGATTAAGTAAGTAAGTACGTACGTAAGTAAGTCAGTAAGTAAGTAAGTCAGTAATCATAAGTCATAAATCATAAGTCTTTGATAAGTCTAGTTATAAATAAGTATTAGTTTATTAGTGATTAGTCGTAATTACGTAATAATTAATTATTAAATTATTAAATTTAACTTTAATTAAGTCATCAAGTGTAAATAGGACGAAATTAACTAACTAAGTCATTAGGTAATTAATTAATTAATTTATTATTCCGTTAACCGTTAATTAACCGTTAATGTTAATTATCCATTAATTAATTGATTACTACTAGTTGATTGTGCAATTAATTAATTCAATGAATTATGGGATTTTCCGCTTTCCCGAAGTTCTTTTCGACAACAGTTTCAGCATTTCTGCAACCGCGAAGTTTTCCGGAAACTCATGAGGAACTACAAAATGGTTTTTCCGGAATATGAGGAAAAGGCAATGTCAGAATATTTTCCGACGTCTATGTTGTGTGTTCCAGTTTGAAGCTCTTGGATTCAATCAACCCTAAACCCTACAGCCTAAACTCTAAACCGCAATCAGGACTGAGGGGCCCTAAACTCTCCTCGGCCCGGAATCGTGGCCAAAGGCGACACGCCGTTGCCTCGATGGGATTTGCGAGGCGTCGACACCGCAAGCGGACGTTTTTTGGCTTGGCTCTTGCTTTAGAGCTTTCGGGTTTGAGGTTCATTCTTCGAGGTTTGTTATCAGTCTGGTGCTGGATTTTGGACTTTCCAGTTTCAGTGGTCTCGTGTTCTAGTCTTGGTGTATGGTTTGTCCTTAACCCTCAACCCTAAACCCTTTTTGGCTGCGTCAGGCTTTCGGACCGTTGGCAAGGTTGGCCTCGGTTTTTTCCCTAAACCTAAACCCCAAAACCCAAAAACCCAAAACCCTAAATCCTGAACCCTAAACCCTCCCTGAAGCTTAACGGCTCAAAGCTTCCGCAACCAGCGTATATCAACGTCGTCAGACCAGGATGGCTCCTCAGAAGAAGCCGAGCGGGCAGGGCCACGCATGCGTCCCCAAAGCCGTCAAGAAAGAAGCCATGACCCGGAACCAATTCCAAGAGGTTCTGCAGAAGGCCGGGGGCATCCAGGCTGTACGGGCAAGGAGGGAAAACAAGGTGGCCAAAGAGAGGTTGCATGTCACTGAGAGCCCCATGAAGCCGGATCGTGGACTTTACTGGCACTTCTACTCTGAGGAGAGCACCGGCAAAAAGAAGCTGTTCTCATTGACCTGCAAGCCCGGCGTGCCGTTTGCCGTTGCCCTGGAGGCACACTGGGACGCGTACCATCTCTTGCCCGCATCTGCTGCTGGTTCGTCAATCTGCGCCGCTGTTGCTCTTCTGGTTCGTCAATCTGAGCCGCTGTTGCTGGACATGGGCAGTGTGGCAGCTAGTGGCAGGTTGAGCCCAAACATAGGATATGATGACAGTAGTGGCTGCCCCCACATAGGAAATGCTGACAGTACTTATAGACGTATAGGCTTTCTGGGCCACACTGCTCTGGCATCGCTTTGGTTGCTGTGGAAGTCTTTTGGGAGGCCAGTGCAGCAGGTTCTGGCCGAACATAGAAAACGCTGTTCCATGCAGGCTTCAGTGCTCTATGCACAAGACTTATAGGCTTTACGGGCCACGTTGCTCTGTCCTCGCTTTGAGCCCCTACTCGGGAAGTCTTATGTGAGAGCAGGGCGGCAGGTTCTCACCAAACATAAGTAAGCTATGGTGTCCCATTGAGGTTTCGCGGCCCTATAGGCAAAGTACATATAGGCTTTCTGGGCCACCCTGCTCTCGCCGTCATCGCGTGGTCCATGTGGGGCTGGGGCTTTCGCGCTGGCCGTTGTTTAGCCCAGTTAGAATAACGTCAACTCAAAGCTTTGGGGCCTTACGCCCAAAAGCGCCCAGGCCACCATCGCCCAGCAACGCGACCTGCTGGTGCAGGCAGGCTTTCAAGGCAAGCTATCGGAGGTGAACAGGGCCTAGTGCCCGCAGTCGATAGCACCGAAGGCAACATTGTGCCGGATGCTAGCCCAGGGTGGTGGGTTGCGACGTGGACTTCACCAGACAACATGCAAAGCCAAACCCGCCGCTTCTCAGCGGTGCCCACAGCGCAGCAGTGGCTGCTTCAAATGGACCTGGCGGCAAAGTCAGGGATCTTGGCAAAAAGTGAGGAGGCACAACGGAAAGGCTTGGCCTGTCAAGTGGCCAGCACCCAGGCCTTGCGGGTGCTCTCTGCACAAGCCACGCAGGACATCAAACAGGTCGCGGAAGCGGCAGGCAACGGAAGAGGAAGCGAGGCAACCGCTACCAAGATGTCACAGCAGAGTTTATGGCCGTGGACCAATTGCATGGGCCCTCGATGCCAGTCTCTGGGATAGCTGTGCACAGGGGGAGCCTTGCTGCAGTGCGGCTCGCTGCCTGCCGAAATCCTTATTTTGGTGGCAGTGTTACTCGGAAAGCCCGTGAGCAAGGACTTCCACGTTGTCCGCTTCGTCATGCGGAGGTCAGGACACTGGAAGGACCTGTGGGCTTCGCACCAAATTCAGGAGATTGCCACGGTCGAAGGACTCAAAGCCTGCGGCGTCCTTGTTTGCGAGGAGCAGTTTGACATCCACAAAATTTTGCAGGGCTTGCCAGGGACTCAGCCTCTCTCTGTGGAGGCCTTGAAAACAATATGGCATGCCAAGACCTTCCAAAGGTGCTTGCCCTGGCGAAGCTGAAGCGCGCTGCCGAACTGCCAAAGCTGACCAGCCGGGACCCGCCGTTGGCTTAGATAGAAAACTGGCAGCAGCAAAGGGGTCAGTTCTCTGTGCCCTCCGCCTTGAACGATCCAGCCGGAGGTGACGTGGCTCAATTCCGGGGAGTCATCCCTCGAGGTTGCCGCTTCCTCCAATGTGACCTATGTATCAAGGCCGCAGGTTGGCAGGCA